ACCTTTAAATTAAGTGGATTCATAGTTAGACAGTTATCCTAATCCTTTGGGAGACAAACTCCTTGGGTTAAAAAGAAGTTTTTTAAAAAAGGCCAAAGATTCAGTTTGATGCATATCTGAAAGAGGAAAAATATTTCCTGGTACCTTAGCAGCTCCTGAAACCATCCACGTCCAAGGGTAGGAGGGAGTGGCCGCAGCTATTCAATTCAGACAGTCAGTGTAAACCTTCACATTACATGTCCCAAGGGCAGGGGTGGGGGGGGGGGCGTGGTGGGGGGAACAAAACAAAACTTCTCAGTGGTTGTATTTATCCCGAATGCAAAAACCGTCCCCTTTGTTGAGGTCGGCTGAACCAACTCATCCCAGAGAACAATGTCCAGTCTGCTGGCGGGCCATGTGCTAATGTGCTCATACATTACAGGCCGCAACAGATGGCTGTGAGCACGCCCGGGCGGCGCCTGCCCGGGTCAGGACGCAGTGCCCAGAGCCTGCTTCCCAGTTCTGTCCGGTTACAAAACACTGCTCCTCTTTGGAGAGATGATGGCTGTCCACCGGAGCCAGGCTGGGCCCCTTCTGCAATGCAGAGCTCGATGGGAGAGCAAAGATGCAAAGGAATTGTTGTTGGGGGGCGGGGTGTTGTTGGTTTGTGTGAACCATGTTGTAGATTGGAAAAGTATTTTCATACGATTGATAGTCAGAAGAAGGGAGACACATGCTGTATTGTTCCAACACATTAGCTCATGGGTACTGCTCACATTTCTTGTCTTCTTCTACACCCAGGATTTGGCGTTTGAGGTATAGTTCTAATTTTTCTCCCCTTCCATCTGAGAAGTCTGTCTTCCCTCCTGTCCCACATCTCGGTAAACCACTGAGAAAAGAGAGTAACCCACTTCCTAAAACAAAAACAAAAGCTAGTTCAGTCGCTCAGTCGTGTCTCTTTGCGACCCCATGGGCTGCAGCACGCCAGGCCTCCCTGTCCATCACCAATTCCCAGACTTTACTCAAACTCATGTCCATTGAGTCGGTGATGCCATCCAACCATCTCATCCTCTGTTGTCCCCTTCACCTCCTGCCTTCAATCTTTCCCAGCATCAGGGTCTTTTCCAATGAGTCAGTTCTTCGCATCAGGTGGCCAAAGTATTGGAGCTTCAAATTCAGCGGACAAAACCTAGCTTTCTTGCAACTGGGCTTCCCTGGGGCTCAGAGGGTAAAGAATCTGCCTGTGATACAGGAGACCTGGGTTTGATCCCTGGGTTGGGAAGACCCTCTGGAGAAGGGAATGGCAACCCACTCCAGTACTCTTGCTGGAGAATTCCATGGATAGAGGAGCCTGACGCGCTACAGTCCTTGGGGGTCACAAAGAGTCAGACACAACTGAGCGACCAACACTTTCACTTTTCTTGCAACTACACAGAAGAGTCCACAGAAATCCCTCTGGAAACATAGCTAAGTGGGGTGCACCTAGCCTCCTCTAATTCCATACCCGCCTCTCTGTCATTGAGAAGGAAACCCACAGAAGCCACCACGTTCACTCTTTCCATCCTGACCTTGAAGTGAAGGCTTGAGTAGTTCGGGCTGTGCCTTCGTCTAGAGGCTCGTGGTTTTCAGGAGAGGAGGCACGATCCTCACTGACTGTTTTTGTCTCCCCATCCGTGGAGCCAGGCCGAGCGGTCCAGCCAACACTCCCCCCCTCTCCTGCCCGTGTCCCCAGGGCTGGGCACCGGGACTCACCTTGGGCCAAGCCTCCCGAGATGGAGGCAGTACTGTGCTAAGTCGCTTCAGTCGTGTCTGACTCTTTGCGACCCCATGGGCTGTAGCCCGCCAGGCTCCTCTGTCCGTGGGGTCCCCAGGCAAGAATACTGGGGTGCCATGTCTCCCTCCAGGGGGTCTTCCTGACCCAGGGGTTGAACCCACGTCTCTTATGTCTCTTGCATTGGCAGGTGGGTTCTTTATCACTAAGCCACCTGGAAGCCTGAAAGCAGCCCATGGAGTCAGTATCTCAGATTCACCCCAGCTCTACACAGGGGCAGAGAAGCACCCACAGGGACAGAAAGAGCCAGAAAGGACTCTGAACCGCTCTCTGACTCTCTGAAACAGACAGGCAGCCTTACCCTTGCCATTTGGTCTTCAAAGTCGGTCTAAGCTTCATGGTGTTCATGGGGGGAGCCCTGAGGAGCTGGCAAGCACCCCAGCCTCTCCCTACCAGCTGCCAGTGGCACTCAGCATTCCTCCTGCTACTGCCAATGTCTGGGTAAGTGTGGTGTCTCTGGGAAGCCCTATAAAAACGCCCATTGCCTGGAGGGAAGACAGGGCAAGCTGTGAGCAGAGGTCGGTCAGATGAACCTATTTGCAGGGCAGGAATAGAGACGCAGACACGCGTGGAGGACATGGGAGGAGAGAAGGAGAGGGTGGACTATTGGGGCGAGTTAAGAGAGTAGCATTGATGTATATACACGACCACATGTGAAATAGACAGCTAGTGGGAGGCTGCTGTGTAGCGCAGGGAGCCCAGCTCAGTGCTCTGATGACCTAGAGGGGTGGGCTGGGGGGATACGGGAGGGAGGGCCACGAGGGAGGGGTCATAGGTATGCATATAGCTGATCCACTTCGTTGTACAGCAGAAACTAACACAGCGTTTCAAAGCAACTGTACATGCATGCTAAGTCTTTTGCTTTCCTCTTGTTTCTTTTCTTCTTTTTCTCTCTTTTTTCTCACCATATTTAAAATGGTCTGTTTTCAAATTAACTTTTCACTTTGGAATGTGTTTGAACTCAGAAAAGTTGCCATGATATGAAAATGAAGGAAGTGAAAGCATTAATCTCTCAGTCGTGTCCAACTCTCTGTGACCCCATGGACTACTGTAGTCTACCAGGCTCTTCTGTCCATGGAATTCTCCAGGTAAGAATACTGGAGTGGGTTGCCATCTCCTTCTTCAGGGCATCTTCCGGATGCAGGGATCAAACCTGGGTCTCCTGCATTGCAGGTGGATTCTTTAACCACCAAGCCACCTGGGAAGCTGCCATGATGTAGCACAGAGGACTCCCATATACCCTTCTGGCAGCTTCCCCTATAATATCTGACATAACCTTGGAGCATTTGGCACAACTACGAAATTAACACTGTTACCCTGATATTCGCTGACCTACAGATTCTGGTTAGATTTCACCAGTTTTTCCATTAGCATCTCTTGTTGGTTCCAGAGAAGAGTGGAAGGTATACAATCTATGATAACTCATTGCATTGAGTTCATCTTTATATTTAACAATGTTGAACAAAGACTCACTCAATGCAAGTCTAGATATTGCTCCCATAGAACATGTGACACAAATAATCCACTATTGTGAAAAATGGACCCAGAGAAAACTAATGATCTTTGGATTAAGTTTTGGTGGAAGGAGATTTATGAGATTAAGGGGAAATCGGTATGCTGGGAGGAAGTATTAGAATCACTGAGAGTGGAAAAGGACTGAACCATCCTAAGGGACCAAATAATTAAAGCACAATGGATAACGATTCTCCTGGAAAAGAAAAAAGGGGTGCAAGGAAAAAGAAGTGCCACAAAGACTGCTCAGAGCAGAGAAGGCTCCATTTTGCAAAGTGAGGAGAGACTCTCCCTCTTTTTTTAAAAACAACTTCTTATTTTATGTTAGAGTATGGTTGATTAACAATGTTGTGATGATTGTGGTACAGCAAAGAGATTCAGTCATACATATATATGTATGATTCTTTTTCAAATTCTTTTTCCATTTAGGTTATTACAGAGTATTGAGTGACGTTCCCTGTTCTATAACCTTGTTGGTTACCCATTTTTTAAATTGGGGTACAGTTGTGACCATGGGGTCACAAAGAGTCAGACATGACTGAGCAATTGAACTGAATTGAACTGATAGCTGCTTTTGGGCTTCCGTGGTGGTTCAGATGGTAAAGAATCTGTCTGCAATTCAGGAGACCTAGGTTCAATCCCTGGGTCGGGAAGATCCCCTGGAGAAGGGAAGGGCAACCCACTCAGCCAGTATTCTGGCCTGGGGATAGAGGAGCCTGGTGGGCCACAGTCCATGGGGTCACAAAGAGTTGGACGTGACTGAGTGACCGACGCACGGATAGTTGCTTTACAAAGTCGTGCTGGTTTTTGCTTTATAACGAAGTGCATTGGCCACACGCGTACCTGTGTCCCCTCCCGCACGTCTAGGTCATCACAGAGCAGCAGCCTGAGCTCCCTGCGCCATACCACAGTGGGTGCGAGTCAGCCAGAGAGGATCTCCCTCTTAAAGTCTTCTTAGCAAGAGTCTAATTTCCACTCTGACTAATGCTGCTGAGTGATGGCGTTTAGCAGGGGAAACGCGGGAGGAGAAAACAGAGATAGGAGTCTACACGTGGATGTGTCTAGATGCCGCAGAAGAATCACACCTACTTCAGAGCTGCCAACAAGGCCTCACTTCTGTAATTAGAGGGAGCCTGGTTGCTTTTACACCAAATCTGTGCCGTAAACATCCCGACTCCACTTTATCAGAGGCACTGGATAAGGAACCTTTACTTAAAGGCACCACCAGCACACCTAGCTGAATCATTGAGAAGTTCAGTAAGATTTCTGCTAGAAAATAAGGAACAAGCACTGGATTTAGACACAAGCAAGAGGACATACAGCTTAGGTCTCTCTGCACACCACTCAAGCAGGCATCCACCTGTCCCCACCACATCAACATTAAAACTGGCATTACTGTGACTTTTTAAGGACCATGAAATGATATTGGAGAAGAGGAGAGAGATCAGGCGATTGAAAAACAAGGAAACATGATACATTGGAAGCAGACTTTCTCCATCTGGCACTGCTCTGCCCCCCGGCCCCCACCCTCGAGTCCTCCCCTCACCCCCAACACTCCCAACTCTATCTCTGCCTTTCTCCATATGTAAGTTCCTAATTTGGAGTATTCATTCCTTTTTTTTTCCCTCCGAGATGGAAGAGTCTACTTAACAATGGGTAAGAAAAGCGTGACTCTTACCAGAAAAATGGATGTCATAGTTTTTTCCAAATCAGGGCAGAGAGGTGCCAAGAACACATATCACTGGAGAAACTTAGCAAGCTGTGGAACAAACCTAACCCTTTAGGCTAATGGAAATCACAAGGAATAAATGTACAGGAGATTTGCATGAAGGTGACTAAAATGAATAAACTCGAGCACACCCCACTGGAAAGATCAAAGAGCAGACGCTAACTTAGCTGAACTGACAATAAGCAAAGTGATGATTAGCTGTGCTGTGATGGCTCCCTGACCTGGCCAACACACCTGAGAGTGGTCCAGCTGAAGTCAGTAACCACAGTGTCAGGGCGGCTGGGCGACAAGGACCGCCCAACGAGGAGCACGCCCTTCCAGGAAGGCCAGCTAGCGGGAGAATGGGCTGCATGATTGCAACAAGTCATTGTTGTTCCACGTGTTCCTAGACCCCTGATGCGTCATGGGTAATTGTGGAGGTGGAGAAAGCAAGAACAGGCCAGGGATCTGAAAGGTGGGGAAGACTTCAGGAAGGACGAGGGACTTAAACTGGCCCTGAAAGGTGGATCCAACTTGAGCATGGGATTGGGGGATGTTAAAAGTTAGTACACCCTTGGGTTTATTCTGCCAAGAGAACTCTGGCATCCTTCCAACTATGGAGGGAACGACATCAACTTGTAGTAAAGAGTAAGACCTCCACTCTTGGGTCATGGCTCACAAACTAGCTGTAGATCAAAACCAAGTGGGTGTTTTGTTTGTTCATTCTTAAAACATCCACCGTGGGCTTCCCCAGTATCTAAGCGGTAAAGAATCTGCCTGCAATACAAGAGGGGCAAGTTCCATCCCTGAGTCAGGAAGATTCCCTGGAGGAGGGCATGGTGACCCACTCCAGTACTTTTGCCTGAAGAACCCCATGGACAGAGGAGCCTGGCAGGCTGCAGTCCATAGGGTGGCAAAGAGTTGGACATGCCTGAAGCGACTTAGCATGCACACATGCAACATCCGCAGCGGGCTTTGACCCCAAACCTACTGAGTCAGCATCTCTGGGGGCGGGTGCCAGGGATGTGTGTGTTTGTAATCACCAGGTGATTCTGACTCAGTGAGCTATTCCAATGAGCCTACCTCAAAGACAAGAAACTGAGGCCCAGACAAAAGAGGAAATTGGCCCACAGGACCCATGGAGTGAATTCCTTTGACAGATGAATTTCCAAGCATTCTCCCCTAGCCCTTCTACCCTAGTGCTGTGCTTGGAAACCCCACTACGGTGGCAAGCAAGTGTGACCCTAACATCTTCTGGGCCAGGTCCTGACTCCCCACTGGGTGCCAGAGGGTCTGTGTATAGAAACTTCCGTACCTTGCAGTTGCTTCTTGGCTAACAACCCACTCACCTGGAGGAAAAAGAAGCAGCTTCTTGATCCACCTCTGGAATTGGACCACTTGTCCCTAGAGAGCTGGGGGAGGGTAAAAACAAAATTGCTGATGTTGCTTTTTTTTTTTTTTTTTTGGCTTTGCCTTTGACCTCAATCTCAGATGCTGCCCCAGCTGCAGACACACCATCTCTGAGTAAGTAAGTGTGCTCTCTGGCCCCTCAGTCCAAACCTCATTCCCTCCAGACTGTCATCCTGGAGGTTTCCTTGCAAAGGCTTTTAGGCTCTTTCCTCATTTTTAAAAAAGGATGTGAATGAGCATGCAAGTCCTGCTCTGTCTTAGAGAAAACAAATAGGCTCATGTTCTTAAATAATTGTGCATCTCCCCACTTCTCTCATAATTTACCACCTGACCCCACCTCCAGATTTCCTTCCAGATGTCTCTGAATCCCTAAGCCAGACCACTGTCAGGTTCTGTCCTCCTGCAACACTTCTTCCCATGAGGCTTTGCAGCTCCTGCCAGCCCTGCCCAATATGTTGCCCAACCATCTTCCTCATCTAGCACCCTAGCGGGCAGCACTCAGAGCAACCCTCAGCTGCTTTTAAACCACTCCGACCTTTTTGCTAGATGCCCCACCCTCCACTTCAGTCCTCCCCGGGTTTTTCTGTTTCCCAAGAGAGTCTTTTAGCTCTCCTTCCAAAGGCTGGTCCTCCCAGGGTAGGGGTTTCTGGCCCTGTGTGCACCCTCAGCCCTCCCCGTCCTCTGCACACTGCCCCGACACCCCATCAGCTTTGCTTTGAAGGATGCTCTCTGGGAGGGGACTGAGGCCACTGGCATAAGTGGGGTTTAGGGATTACAAGATTTCATTTATTTTTGCCCCTCCTCATTAATACTGAAAAGACTTTCAGTGACTCATTTGTTCACCAAATATTTATGAAGCGCCTGCTGTATATCAGGCACTGAACTAAGCTCTGGGATAGCTGAGAGACTGCAAAGATGCTGTTCAATACAAAGGCTTAGAGATTATTTAGCAGCCAAATCCAGAGTTGCCCTTCCCTGGTGGTCCAGTGATTAAAACTCTATTTCCACTGCAGGGGGCGAGAGTTCAATTCCTGTTTGGTGAACTAAGATCCCACGTGTGCTAGCAAAAAGAAAAAAAAGAAGAAGAAATGGATCAAAGAATCCAAGTGATTCAAAAGCCTTTCCCCCTCCCCCCTCCTTTTCTTTTTTTAAATGGATAGGTATCAGGAGACAGCGAAAAACATGTCACAAAATTTGTGTGGGGCCCAGGGACTTGGTTGGGTCATACACAAGGTCTTAGTTACACAGCTTAGTGTGGTCCCATTCATTCAATGACATTTATTAAGGACCTCCTGAGTTTGATGATCTTTCCTCTTCAGATGCCCGCAACCATGACTGTGGAGTTGTGGTTGCCCTTGTGGTTCAGTCACTAGGTCGCTCCAACTCTTTGCAACCCCACAGACTTCAGCACGCCAGGCTCCCCTGTCCTTCACTATCTCCCAGAGTTTGCTCACTTCATGTCCGCAATGCCATCCAACCACCTCACCCTCTGCTGCCTGCCTTTCTCTTTGCCGTTGCTGAACAGGTGCAAAAATGTTCTGGCAATCAGCTGACAACAATATGTATATCATTAATGCCACTGAGCTGTACACCTAAAAATGGTTTAGATCTTATGTTTGGTGTTTTTCTAGCAAAATTAAAACAACAACAACAAAAAACATCCCTGACATCTCTTGCAATATCCTGCCCCTGAGGAAAACTAGCCATTTCCCCATGGACAGTGGTTTCTGGGCAGGACCAGATGAGACCATTGCTCTGTAAGAGAGACTCAAGGTGAGGGTGGGGGCAGACCAGCGTCCAAGAATGAGGAGGCATCTTCATCTGTGTTGGGTTGCAGGGACACAGCAAATGAGGAACAGACAAGCCACAAGGCGTCACACCCCACCTGCTCTGCCAGGCAAAACCCAATGGCAGCCAGGGCACCCAACATCTGGGCGAATGCTACTCAAGGCTTCTATTTCTCGTTTTTCTAGAGCAGGCAGGAATTTTCCATCTCTGCTTTCTCTCTAGAATTCTGACCGGTTCATCAAATGCATAGTTCTTTACAGAGCTCGTTCTCTGAACTGATAAAATCATGAGTGAAAAGGGAAAGAAAAAAGCAGCTTTGCACTTGGAAAGACAAAAGCACAAAAATGCCTTTAGAACCCAACTGCTAGTGTTGGCGGCCTGATCTGCTCTTCAAACGGGCTTCCCAGGTGGCACAGTGGTAAAGAATCCACCTGCCAATGTGGGAGACTCAAGTTCCATCCCTGGGTTGGGAGGGTCCCCTGGAGAAGGAAACGGCAACCCACTCCAGCATGCTTGCCTGGAGAAGTCCATGGACAGAGGAGCCTGGCGGGCTCCAGCCCACGGGGTCCATAAAAGAGTCGGACCTGGCTGAGTAACTGAGCATGCACGTTCTCTTCAAGTTCACCTGGCTAGGACTGGCAAAATAAATTTGAAATCGTTTTTCACTTCATTTCATCTTGACTGAGTATCTCTGGGCTCATGGGCTCTATAAAATTTGGATTTAATGTCACCTCCTCTCTCCTTGTCCTCTTTTCCTCTCTTCCTTATAGAGGACAAAAAGGGCTCTTGGCAGGGCCAGTTTCATGGGTGTGGGACCCCTGCAGTCTGTCACCCAAGTTCCGATGCTCAGTAGAGCTCTGTAATTGGTTTAATGTTCTGCTGTCACCCTCTAGAAGTCCCTAATGATTTTTAAGAGACATCCCTAATGATTTTTAAATGAGGGAGCCCATATTTTCATTTTGCACTGGACCCTGCAAATTAGGTAGCCAGTCCTTCTCTTGATGAAAAACTCTTTGAGGTGGTTTTCACAGTTTCTCATACCCCAGCCAAGCAACTTCTCACAGTGTCCCCACTTCCATCAGAGTTCCTTCTTGGCCATGACAGTAGAAGAAAAGGTAATTTTTTAGGTCCGAAACCAAGAAAAGGGGCTTCTTAGGTGGCTCAGCAGTAAAGAATCCACCTGCCAATGCAGGAGACATGGGTTCCATCCCTGGGTCAGGAAGATCCCCTGGAGGAGGAAACAGCAACCCAGTCCAATATTCTTGCCTGGAAAACCCCATGGACAGAGGAACCTGGTGGGCTACAGTCCATGGGGTCAAAAAAACAGTCAGACACGACTAAACAGCAACAACAAAACCAAGATAAGGGCTTTTTTCCCTGTTAAAAATTACACTCCATCTTAAAGTGGCAACACAAATCCTAAGTAGGGGATATAGGACTTTGGTTTGATGTACTAAAATGATTTGACTTTAAAGAAAAGAAAATTTCCTTGTGGGTCCCACATATACTAAAGTAATGGAAGACCAACCTAAGAAAAACATATTCACTCATTAAGCTCAAAGATTTTGGCTCCCATGGAACACATGCAAGCATTTCTGTTAATATTGAGCAAAATACAACTCCCACCCTTAAGGTCCTAACTTATTCATGAAAAACAATCATTGCAAGTTACACTGAACATTGTAATTAACCAACCAACATATACCAAGAGCTTTCTACCCCGCCACCCCCAGCCCACGATCTTATTCCCAGTTAAAATAGGAGTTAAAATATTTAAAAATAAATATTTA